GAGAAGATGTCAAAAATCTCATTAAAGTATAATGGCCTCCACCTGCTTTCTTTCCTTTCTCATTCTCTCCAGCTTGCCTTTCTAATGACCAGCTTGATAAAACCTGGAGGGTACCCACAATGCACTGGACAACTACCTCAGTGAGCACAGTGTGTTCAACCGCAAAAACACACACGGCAGACACACTAAAAGCACGTAATTGTTCCACGACATGTGTTCCCAGTATTAAACACAAAGAAACTCCTGCAGGTGTAACGTCTGCCCCCACTGTCGAGCTCATAAAGCACTCACGTCTGGGCCTGAACGGGGAAGGAAAGGCTCAACCATGAGGCTAAATCATCTATATGAGCCTCACTGGAAAATCTGCACACAATTTCTTTAAACTATTACACACACATCAGGTCTGAGGTTACGCATAAAGTAAATATATGTCAACCGGCTATTTGTAACAGCTCCCAGGGGTCAGATTACCCTCTGGCCCGAAGCACATAAACGAGCACCTCAGTCCGTCTGTACGTCTGTCTTCACTGCTTCACTACACATCCAACAAATGTCGTCCTCGTGCGTTTCTGTCTTTAATAACCATGGAAAAGGGATGTGTCTGTTCCCGTCTCCGTGACTGAATATCCTCACAAGAATTAGCCAAAAAGCATGTAATGGTTCAAACAGATGGTGAAGAGAGAATAAGGATTTGTGTTGTTATTCTGCATTATGACAGAGATTAGATTGTAATGTGAGAGGAGGGTGCAGCAGACACAAAGCAACAGTGAAGAAAGACGGGACTTTGCAACCGATTAAATAAACTGAAATACCATGATCCAAAACTAATAAAAACAGAGAGAAACAGAGGACATGATTGAGGCTGAAACAAAAAGGAGCAAAGGAGGCTGTATTCCAGCTAATCTCCATGAGGACGCCTGTCTGCTATCAGCCCAGATAACACAGCAGGCTGTGTGTCATGAGATTTCGGGCAAAAGGTAAACAGGAAATCAAAACAATCTAATTCTGTTTGAGGGTGAAGAGGAAGAGAAAACCAATGTATTGTCCATCCCTATAGAGCGCATTAAAAGAAATGGCATCTTTTATTCAGGGTCCTGTGAGTCACTCCTTCGAACCGGACCTCTGTCCCCACATCACTGGTGCTGAAACAGTGGAGTGTGTGTGCGGTTTAATATTTTAAGGTTTGTGTTTAATGAACCATGTTATTTCTTAAGAACATGCATTAAAATGGGGCAACGTGCATACCGGCTGTCATCTGCTATCAACTTTTAAGTTTGGATGAGGAAGGTGATGAAGATGATGTCCGGAATACAAAGCCTGCAGCTAAATAACAGCTCAGCTATAGGATTCTGAAAAAAATCCCCTAAAGCCTGTAACAGCAAAGCTTCAAACAACCAAAGCAAGAGAGACTCATCACACAGGGCCTTCTGGATGCCCGCTGGAAGAGATTTTTGGAAATATTATCCTGGAGAAAATTACAGCCCTGAACAATTTGTTTTATTCAGAATGCAAAGCCCTCGTATCCATTCCTCATGGTTTCTGGTTATTCTCGAAGTGGGCAACAGCCAGAATACGCTATGAATGAGATGGAGACAAGGTGCCACTGAATAGAGAAAGAAGGGATCTGGGTCAAAGATACAAGGCTTACATTTTAAACGCCAGCAAATAAAGACACTGCAAAAGGCATTTAGTGTGTTGCATGTGTGGGAGGAGGAGGTGTAAGTTTTATGTTTTAGGTGTTCAGAGGTTATATAGAGACAGAACAAGTGCTTAAAGTGCATCAGCAAATTTATGAAACACAAAAGCAGTCCAGGGCAAGAGCAGGAGGGTTAAGGACAGATCTCATACAGACTTTCACTGTCCCTGATGAGGTGCTGAGGGATTAAATTCCCAAAATACAGGAAACTAGCATCAATGGAAATTCTAAAAGCAAAGTGAGGACTGCAAGGAAAATCTCCATTTCCCTCTGACGAGTTAAACTGTTAATATGTGCATTCCCATACTGGATCCCAGGCAAGAAGAAACATCAGAATTCATCAGACCCGTCTTCCTCTGTTTCTCTCTCACACACAGAAACCATCACAACCACAGTCACACATGCAGCAAGTGAGGGGGGGGGCAGCCCGAAACCACCAGTAACCAAAACAAAGCACAAGGTCAGCACAGTTCTGTCACTGAGCTGAACCCAGCCTCCCTGGCTTTCATTACCAGAACAGAATCAGAAGAGGGATGCAGGGACACATGGGACGATGTTACGTTTGCCGGCTCTGTTTATCTGTGCGAGTCTGGCCGGGGCCCAACTCACGCTCCCTCGTCTGCGGGATAAAAAACCTTCCAAACATCATGACAGCATCAATTGTTGATGCGGTTATCAAAACTTTAAATTGGGACTGAGTCTGACCGTATAAAAGAAGAAACACAAATCAAACCAATTGTCTCAACAATTTTACTTTAACGTTAAAAACTATTTTTTGTTAAAATGCAAAGGAAGAATACTTTCTTTCAATTCTCAGACACCACAATCTTATTCTGTAAAAAATGTTCAGGGTCATATTGCACCAGCAAAAAGCAGCAGTGTCCCATTTTTATGTGTGTTTCAGCCATTAACTCTGGTAACTGGTTTTCTGGATACATAGAGAGCTAATCAATTCTCTCAGCAGGAACAATGCAATGTGTAGTACTTAATGTTTAACAATGAAAACTCTAAGTTGGTCAAAACTCCCAGATTGTTTTTTAGAAAGTGATCTAAATTAGCTCAACAGCTAATTAAAAGAAAATTAATCAAAAAAGGAGTTGTGGGAAAGTGGACATGGCTCATGGTTTGACTGAAAATGACTAAAAACAGAACAGAGAAGCAAAAGACATAATGAAACCATAAAAAGCTGTTTTTGTTAAGCAGTTTTTTTTTACAGTAATAAAATGAGAACAATAATCTGCAAAAAAAAAACTGCTACGTGTCAAAGATTTATCTTTGGTTTTGTTCTCAGTTTTGGTTTTGTCATATTTGCTGTAATGGTTTCAACAACCACACGGGGCTGTTACACTTTCTGTAATTTGGTACTTCGCAGTGACTCAAAATGATAAAATGTGAAATGCAACGCCCTCCTCCTCCCTGCCGACCTCCTGTCTAGACCCCAGCATCCTCCTCATCATGGCTATGGTCCTAGTTCTGTCTTTCCCATTATTCCCCTGATGGCTCACATGAATATATACAGTAAATGTTTGTGTGTGTACGTGCGTACATGTGTGTGTGTGTGTGTGTGTGTGTGTGTGTGTGTGTGTGTGTGCGTGTGTGTGTGTGTGCGTGCGTGCATGCGTTTTCTGTGCATGACTGGGTGTCATTACTCCTGCCCCCATCTGACGGTTTTGGGTTAAACAATGTTATTATTAAAGCCCTTCCAGAGTCGCTTCCTGCCTCCCTCCAGTGATACCCTTACCAACTATAAATCAACTGGCTGAGCCCTGTAAGTCACATATGATGCTGTGTGTGTGTGTGTGTGTGTGTGTGTGTGTGTGTGTGTGTGTGTGTGTGTGTGTGTGTGCGTGCCTGGCCACAGCAGCTGTGCTCTCAGATGCACGGGAAGACGACACTGCAGCTGTGAGTGTGTCAAGGCAAAAGACGAGCACCTTACTTTGGCAGGATCCCCCCTCAAGAGAAAACAAATGATGAATGTTAAACCAAATTCTCAGGATGTGATTCAAGGGAATAACGTCAATGAATTTATGTTTTATGAGTCGACCGTGGTTTATTTGCTGTAATAACACATCTGACTTCAGAGTGGCTTCTTCTAAACAACTATAAAAGAACAAAGTGTGCGGGCAAATCACACAAATGCATCGATTGTAAGAGGTAAATTGAATTGGTAACGGTGAAAACAACCCTGCTAGACCACTAAAGATTAGTTATGTCAGAACAGAAGCACAGAGACAATTTCATCTCCCTGAAACCAAACCAGATAAATAATGCTCTGTGAAATAAATGGCTCCCGTGCAGCAGTGATGGCTCAGTCTGTGATTGTTTGTGATTGTGTTGACACCCCCTGCTGGGCTGAAGACATAACTACCACACACAGAGAACAAGCTCACCACCAGCAACAATGTCCCACTTCCCTTCAAGCTTTAATACACTATAGTTAGTGAAACACTTAAAATCAAACAGATTCCTTCCTTCAGACGTATTCATCACTCCAGCAAAAACACACATGTAGACATGAGAAAGAAAACAACTACATTTACTGTACACAGTTGTGCTGTGTATCAATATTCTAAAACGTGTCTGTACATGTTTGTCTGTATCCACACTCACATACTCAAGAAAGAACGTCTAGACGGTTAAGGAGAGTGAGAAATATATACTGTGCAGCTGCCGAAGACACAGTCGACCCACAAAAGAGCTATTGTGCGCCCACAGCAAAACAATACAGCTTAGCTAAGCTATGAGAAAAAAAAAACATGGGGATCAATAGAGAATTGCAATTAGCCCACATTGGCAGGAGCAGTGCCAGATTAGACACAGGATGTCGATTCCATTTCCTGCACTATCGGGCCCTAAAACTTGGTTGGCTCACTGTGTAATTGGAGCATCACCCATAAAACTGGATAAGACATTGTGGTGTGAATGTGTAGTAATGAAGATGATGATAATAACAGTAATGTTGAAGAGGTTGGGCTCAGTCGTAAAACGAAAATGAATAAATTCTAGGGTGATCCGTGTTGCATGAACATTATTTTGCCAGACGACAACAACAGACCAATGTGCTGACTTTACAGCAGCGAGTTGATCCTGATCAAGATACTGAATTTACATAGATTTTCCATACGTATAAAAGCTACCTTAATAATCCATCATCTACATGAGCTGGCAGAGAGAAAAACAAGCCACCAGACATTGCTCCTTTACAGGCCTTAGCAGAGAGAGGGGGGGGGGGGCCTCTTGGATTCACAATGTAGATGGTCTTGACAAAATGAAAAAGAACTGACTCGCCAATTAAAGGTCTTACCTTTGAGTATGTCCTGGCCTTGCAGTACATCCCTTGAAATCAGCACAGAGTAGAAGCTTTGAGAGAAGCCAGGACGGCAGGGACCTATGAGAGCTTGCTCTGCATTATTCGTCTGGAAGAAAGAGAATACAATGTGAGTCATCGATAAACATGGATTTCATTAATTTCTTCCTTCTCTTTGGCCCTGAACCTATGAAGAAAGGCAGCATATATAACAGCAGTTAGTAGAAATATATTCAACAAGTTTATCAAATATAGCCCTGGGTATATGCACATAATACTCATACACTCTAATGTCTCAGATAAAATGTGTTGTGTAACACACGCTCCATAAAGCAAGCAGATGAAATAGGTAGTGCCCTGAGGATTAAGTGAAACACAAAGTAAAACAAAAAAATTGGATGAATGCAGCAGCATTTTCATTTCTCACACCAGCACAAAGGACCTGCAAACACTCTGCAGAGAAACTTTGCACCCAACATTTATTGTTACATTGATCTGCCCCACAACACACACACACACACACACACACACACACANCACAACACACACACACACACACACACACACACACACACACACACACACACACACACACACACACACACACACACACACACACCAGGGCAGGCTGGTGTGTGCATGAAGGAGTAGAATGCATTAGTTCTTCTCCTCTTGAAGGAGGAATAACGCAGCGCCAAAGTATCTGTCATGTTCCTAAATGTATATCAGCGCCATGATTTGAGTGTGGAGAGAAAGATTTAGAGCCACTCGGTGCACCCCCCGTTACAGGCAGCCCACAGGCGCCGACTTCATTCAGCTTTTATTGATTCAATGATGAGGTAAATTGTCTTAAAGCACCTTACAACTTCAATTTGAACTTATCGCAGGCTGCGGGGAAGCCTTCTGAATGGATGCACTGCTGAAATGAGCAGGAATTAGTTGCAGGCATCACCACTGGCGATTGAATTGTGCAACATCTCTTAACTTGTCGCAGCCCGAGAACCCGCAGCGATCCAGAGAAAAGCTCCGATCAGGATCACAGAGGACGACGCTGCTTCCTTTTTTACTTTTTCCTCTTTCTCTCACACACACAGGAATTCATTAAGGGACCAATTAGCGGGACTTGATGGGGAATAACAAGCGGCGCTGTGCTGCTGCTTCTGCAGCAGGACCGACGCTGGACTCCATCCGACTGTACACGACTTTCTCCAAAGCTTCATCCAAACCCTGCGCCTCTGAGACGCTGCCTCTCGTCGCCTGCTCCCACAACTCATCCACAAATCACATGTGTGGACGGGATAGAGGAGAAATCTCACCCAGAACGTGTCCAGGAGAAGCGCCGCTGTCAGGACCAGAGCGAAGTAGGTTCTCATGGTGGCGGGTGTACGCGCGTCAGGGCTGCGTGCTGGACGAGGAACCAGAAAAAAGAGGGGTCGGTTCGTAAATTCTTCTCCTCCGGTGATGCTGGTTTTATTCCCCCCTTCCTCTCCTCGCTCAGACTCTTCTGTTACGTCCCCTGTTTGCGCTCCGTGCGTTGTGCTGCAGCTCTGCCCCGAGTTTCCCCGGCTCTCTCATCCGCAGGTGAGCGCTCCGCTCGGCACCAAGGCGCAGCCAGCGTCACTCTCCAACCCCTCCTCCCCCCCCCCCCCCCCCGTGCAGGAAAACTCCCCACACGCACTTAAAGAAACACTCGTTAGAGCCTCGGATGAGACGAGCACAGTTCTCCTCTCCAACGGGAACCCGGTGTGTGCCACTCTCCCTGCGACCCGAAAGGGTTTTACGCAGGTTATTGTTCGGTCTTTAATGCGCAAACGAATATGGAGGGAGAGCACGAAACCCTGAAACTTCCACCACAGCTGAACCACGTGACACGTTAACAAGCTGTGCAGCATAATGCATTTTCAATTAGGGTTTAATATCTTTATGTTTTCTTTCCATTAGTGTATAAAACTCTTACCAGGCTACACGAAGTGAGGCTACATATATCACGTGAGTACCATGTGACCTACAGGTGATCAGCACGTGTTCAAAAAAAACATTAGCATGCTGTGGCCCCACCCCTTTTAAGTGCTCCATCTTAATCACTATGAGAGAAGTAAATTGATTCTGTAAAGAGTCATAAAAGTGGCTCATCACGTGTTGATGGCTTCTCCACCTTCAGTCTCGGGCCTATGTGACATATTCAACACAAAACGGACACGCACACGACATCAGTCGCTGTTTTCATGATGTGATTAACTTGTTTTTTAAATGTTTACATTTTTCTTCGCATCCAATGCTTTTTTATACGGATGACTCTGAGTGATGAAATGCCATTAGCCGATCTTTGTGGCATGAAGTAATGGATGCACTTTTGAATAATTGATTTTCTGTGATATTGTGATGTGAAGACCACAATCTGAACTACCACAGTCTGCCACACTGACTAAAACCATGCAGGAATCCATTTGACAAAGAGTCAGACAGAGTCAATGACAAAGACGCTCATGAATACAGACATGGATGGTGACTCAAGTGTGTTTTGACGGGATTGATCCGCCCTGTGCACGGTATTTGATTTTTTTTTTTATTTCATTTATGACATTAACTAACCAAGTGCGTTTTCATTTTGCAGAGATTAATAGAGTGTCACTCTGACTCTCTGTTGATGCTCCTTTTACCTTTTTTTTTTATCAAATCCAACATTGTCTCTGAGACTGAGAATATAAAAGAGAATTTTCATCAAAAGAAAAGCTGAGCATGGGTCAATTCAAAAGCTTTTCAGTGTGAATCCAAATGTTTCACAAAAGCTGAACTTAGTTCCTTTTTGAACTCTGCTTTTTTTCCCCCAAAGAATCTTCTGTCAAAGGATTTGACAAGGCCACAGCCAAGTATTACACTGCATCTTTGACTGTGGTTCAATAATACCTGTTACCATCAGCGGTTTATGTCCCTGAACATTGTCTTGTTGCTCCATAAAACATGTCCCTGTACATAAAACTGCATAACATGGAGGTTTGCCTATCTATCCGGCCTTTCTTAACTCCTAATGATCTTTATATTCTGCTGTTTCTGATAGGCAGACCGGTCTTTGTGTCTGCTTAGTGAGCCAGTGGACTCTAATCCTATCAAAAAATATGACTCTGCATTAGTGGGTGGCTGCTCAGCCAATTTCCTCTGTGCGACATGCAGGCGTTTTACCACCTCTCTCATCCCAATCCCTCGGCCCCCAGGATCAGCTCCAACACTCCCAACCAAAGTCCTTTTTATTCCTGATGGCCCCTGTGACACGGTGATGGTTTTGTTCTGCTAAATGCTGTGACTGGTGGCGTCTCTCTTTGTCACTCTCGCTCTGGGTGGTGTGTGTCCCACAGTTGGATTCAGTGTGTGGCAATATCAGAATCTCTCTGCACCATTCAGAGCGTTCATACGAGTCAGTTTTACATAATAATTATCTGCTTTGTTATTTATCCAAATGGCTTTTCGTATATTTCATACCAAACACAATGTGATTAGCTTTACACTCAGTGGAGTCTATACCTTTTCAACAGTCTCCTTATATTCAATCAAGCTGCACCAAATTTCACACAGCTATAAACATACTATATGTATGTATCTATATATATCCTATGCCTGATTATTTTTCAGAAACATCCCTGTATTACTCTGCTGAGGAAATGTTATCATCTCAAAGTTAAAGAATGTGAAAAGAATTCCCCGGATCCACCCTCTGACAAGGAGTTGCACTAAAGTTTGATGGGGTTTTTCCATGACCACACCGAATCCTTCTGCCAAGTTTCATGGACATTCGTTCTGTTTTAATGAAACACACTTGCAAATGTTTGTGGTTATGAAAAACAAACAATGGTGAATGTTGGGTTAAAGTGTGATTAAGAATGGGAAGATAATAATAACAGCATTTTGCCATTTTTAGCGATGTGGGAATATTCACAGAGTGACCACTGATGGCACAGACAGTGACAGCAGCTGAAAGGCGTTGTTTACCTTGATGCTGGGGTGGAGATGTGCTGATTCACACACACAGTCCAGCCTGTCGCTTGCATCTCTTCATCCAACTCACTGCTGCCATTACTCCTTGAACTTTCCTGCAATATTTAAAATAAATCACACGAAGCAGGCCACAGTATATCCATACACCCCTCTTTCTATTGAAGAACAGCTTTTCTAACAAGCTGCTTTTCCTATAGCTGCTTGACAATTAAAGGCTCTTGCTGGTTCGAGGGTGGAGAGCAGAAAACAGCAGGAACAATGCAGTTTGCATTAGTAGAAGCTCTGATGCCATACAAAGTGGGGTGAAAACTAAAAGGAGGGAGAGGAGTAAAACTCCAAACCACAGAGATTCAGTTCCAAGCTACAAAAGGAACTAGAGCTGAATACAGAGAGACTTTTCAAACACTGCCATCGCTCTCGTAACCAGAGAGGCAGCACATATCGAGCATGTATGGGTTGTAAATTGTCGGCTGCAGAAGTGCTCACTATGACCTAATTCCTGAGGACACTGTGCTATGTTAGAGACTGTGACACATTTGAATATTTCATCCAAAAGGCATACTGCTCTTAGACTTTATGAAACGCTTTTTCATTTCTTTAAAGTTCATTGATTTTCTTTTGTACCGAATGTAAAAACGGTGTCATTTTATTTGTACATTTCCAGGTTTAGTTTCTCTTGTTGTTACATTCATTGTTTTAATACATCGTGATTTCCCTGGAAAGCAGTAGGGTATTAACATTAAGTAGATTTTGTTGATGAAATAAAATACAGTGTTAAAAAACAATTTTAAAAGAGCATATTCTTGTTGATCAAATAAAACACGGCAACATATTAGAGAGGGGATTAGTATTTATTTGTAGCTGTGTTTTTGTTTAAGGCTTTGTACGGCCCCCTGAAAGAATCATACTAAACCTGAGCAAATGAGTCCCTGGTTCTCATCATCTCTTTGAATACCCTCAATTAACGCTGGTGCTAATTTGATGCTAATTTTCATTTTGATTCAGGAGAAGATGCAACATTAAATTTGAGCAGTTTTCCAGGAGGTATTAATAAAAAATAATACAAATAAGTTGACTGCTTTTGTTCAAAGTTCAGTCCAGCAGCACATTTGTTGTTTTAAAAAAAACCGTCAACAGCATCATCATTGATTGATAATTTTACAGCAAATGTTCCTCCCAGTACAAGAACTCTTGCTTTGAATCGTTTGAAGTGCGTCTGTATCCCTTTGTGGCGTTCTTTAGTAAAGACAAACACGACGGATGTTAGGTGGTGTATGACTACAGGAGAAAAGTTTCTCTGCACTGTTGCGCCTTTACTACAGAAGTCAAGTGAACTGCAGATCAAATTGAGTAATTTGCTTGGGGCGAGTGAATATCCTCTGTTGTAATCACTGATGGTACCTCCGGTATTTGGGGGAAAGTAAAGTAAAGTAAAGTTTCATGGTGGTTTCATTGCTTAACTATTTTGTTTTCAGAAAAGAGTTGCTCTCTGAGCCTTGATGCACTATTGTTCATGTTCTTGAATCCACCTTGAATAAACTTTACTAGCATCAAACAGGAAAGACAATATTATCATTACATTTCTGGATAAATACAGACACACACACATTTTTCTTACTCACCAGTCTGACTGTTGTCTACCTGTTCCTGTTGTTGACAGAATTGAACCTGTCCAGACTTTGGCAAGAGAGAGAACAGCCTGCCAACTGTAAAAGTGACCTGCAGTTACTGAGTCACGGCAAGTAAAGACCAGCTGTGGAAGTCATTCTAAAGAACCCAGAGGCCTCTGCTGCACAAAGAGCTGTTCAGTGAAGCTCGACTCCGTACGCACAGCTTCAGACTGAAAGATATGTTGCTGTGGTTGACATACTCATTGTTGTGTACCTGTTGACATGATTGTCAAGGTCACCTGCGTTGCCACAGAGTGCTGCTGGTCTCTTTGTCAAAGTTTATAGATACTGAACATATTGGGTGTCCAAACCCACAACGATTCAGCCCTGCACTTCCTTGGGCCTGTAACATGCTGGGTGTTAAATAAATATGATAAACGGTTCTCAAGATATGCGAGCTGCATACAGACGGTCAGATCGGCAGAGCTGATTTTTTTGATATGAATTCAGACTCTGTCAGTGATGTTAAGTTGTTCACATTTTTCATCTCGTCTCTCGCAGAGTTCCAGAACACTGCTCACTGTTCAGGTTGATATTATTGAGGAGCAATGCTGAAAAATTGTTAGTGTTGTTTCAAACTGGGTATTAGTAACAGTTCAAATAAATATTCTTGAAACATTTATATACTCTAACAGTCATCTTGCTCTAAAACCTTGCCTCAGTTTGATCTAAATGGGATCAATATGCATAAGCTGGTTTGTATTAAAGACAGCATTTTAATTTGAATGACCATTCATATGCACAAACACACAACTGTGAGCACCACTCTTGACTGACTGATTCTAAAGTAGGAGCTGACCAACATAAACAAATGGGCTGTGGTTATCATAACCTGTCAGCAGAGGTTCTAGGAGCTGGGAGCAATGGGAGCCCTTATTTCCTGAAGAAACAGCATCTATCTGCTGAACCCCACTGCATTGTGGACAGGGTGCTGCATTATGTCAACTTATATTA